TTTAAATTAATGACTAGTGAAATAATATGAGTTATAGTATTCTGATCGTTTGAACTTAACAAACAAACAAATCAAATGAACATCTGTAGGTTTTGTTCGTTACAGACTGATCTCGCTAAAGTTCTCATTGAGGATTAGGGAACTCTGGACACACGTTTCACACTAGTGTAGGAAACCTCAGTAGTGGATAGTCGCAAACACACTAGGGATAGTTTAGCTAGGTCACAGACCGACTAAAGTTGGGACTGTACCATTGGAGGCTTACCTAGTGGTTACAATAGTTAAATGTTCACCGCGAGATCTGACGGTTTTGTTGGATTCAATTCCTGGCGTGTTTGTAGGTATTTAGTATTGAGAAGTCCCATGATTCGAAGAATAAGCTATCCGGTATTTTCTGATCTTCAACGCTACCCCAGATGTGAACATTCTATAGTGGAGGGAACCTATCAATTAAAACCGATATCCACAAGAAATGTCCAACTGAGAAATAAAAATTTGATTCCCATTGTAAATGTCTTTTATTGAATAGCTTGAATAAGGTTACTTACTCAACAATTCGTTTAACGTCAGTTTTTGATCATCATGACGAATATCTGTGGCTATACATTTTATTAGATTAAATATGTGTGATGGATTCTATTCATTGACTGAAATGTATTTAAAGTCTGACTGACAGTTGATCCAGATAAACGACACCTGCCTAGATAAAGAACAAGTACCTCAGAATATACTAGTTTCTTTTTCGTTGGTGAATTAAGTATTACCATTGACACGTAATGAATTTACTACAATTATTCGCTTTAACAAAATAAGGTAGTTTTAAACAATTCCACCAACCATGTACACTTTTTTTTATCAGTGATTCACTACTTTTCGCTTAACTCAGTTTATTTTATCTTCACTACTTATATAATTAATTATTTTTATATTTGAGTTTAATTTAAATTCATTATAAACAATTTGTTGTTGGCACTCTAATCGGAATCATCAATGTAACTAAACGTAGAGCAGATTAGTAGACTAAAATGCTGAATAGATGCTTGCAGTAAAATAGGGTTGTTTTAATTTAAATCACTTAATTATAATACTGTTAACACAGTTCTCAATAATATTTTAATTGTTCAACGAATGACAATAAAAAGAAAATTATAATTAAACTATTCGGTTTACCGAATTCAATTTAAAAAAAAAACATTCACGTTTTTTAATAGTTACGTCTTTAAATTATGACATAAACTAAACGTGAAGTGTAATTATTGTCAAATAGATTTCATGAAGACTATTTCACAAACAATAAATATAGTAAGTAATGAGAATAGCAATAACAAACAAAATAGTATGAATTATGCATAACATAAGTATCTGATTTTATCCGTATCAACTCAGTGGTCTATTATATGATTTCAGTTAGTTATAAATGAGAAACAAACATTATTTTCAGTGCACTAATGTAAATTCCAATTATCAATCCAGTATGTGATGGGTTTTCACTGTTGGTATATTTTTTTGTTTGTTTGTTAAGAAATTGAGTCTCATTTATTGTTAGTTTAATCCAATAACATAAATCATTATTCAATATATTCTGAAAATAATTACTGTATGTATGCACGCCAACTTATAGACGTGGTCAAGTTGGCATTTATATTGTATATAAACGCAATAATAATAATAATAATTTATTCTTGAAAAGTTCAAATACACACATCATATATTTACATGTATACACCAACTACTGTGTATTGTATGATGATGTACGAAAAAGTGATTGTAAATCTAATAGGGTAGTTAGTAGTTTGAAGTTAGACTATTTATAGTTACACACATATTTTGGTTGTGAGGATTATCAAAATGGATTTAGATTAAAACAATAATAATAATAATAATAATAATAAAGTAGTAATAAGATGTACAACTGTAAAATAAAATGAAAGAATGACGTCAATCTATACACGTGGCGTGAATCTTATAAAATATTGTTGTAATTATTATTATTATTATTATTATTATTATTATTATTATTATAATCATTTTGCAATAGAAACTATGTTAATCGTATGAAATAAGCATGAATGCCAATATTTACATTCAACATAGTAATCAAATAGATAGGTGACTAAAAACAAAACTTTGAATAAAGGAGAAAAAAAAGTGATCAAAAAAGAAACAAGTTAATGCATCATTAGAGAAAGAAAAAACATATCAAACTATGTCTGGGATGATTATTTGTTTCATTTAACTGCATAATATTTAGCCAGATTTAAAAAAATATTCATGACAAAATCACATCATATATGGATATACATTTCTAAAACAAATTATTCCTTTGTAAGCAATGATGGATAGTGGCTAGCAGTGGAATCCAGGACGCGCGTTTCGTCCTATTTAGGACTCGTCAGCTAGATGCACCTGCATCGCAGAGAGTTGATGTTCACTCTGGGAAGAAACTGCTAGCCACTATCCATCACTGCTTACAAATAGCTTGTGAATTAAGGTAATATCGAGGCATTCGCACAGTATGCACATATGTCAATAACAGACTGATCAATTGCAGTCTTAAACCTCAATGGGAAGATACAAGCCAAACAATACCAAGTGAAATTATTCTTTTTATTACATATACATTTCATTTGTAAATATGTTGAAACGTTAGTGTAATTATAGTTTAAGAATAAGCTAACATTGTGGTTGAAATGACCTGGTAATTATGAATCCACTTTTAAGTTCATGATTAGAATTTGTTTTGTTGAAAATCATTCAGTAGTGGGACTGATCAAATCCGTTAGATATAAAGGTTTTGTGTAGAAATTTTCTTTGTTTTCCATGACTTATTATCAGTTTACCCATATTCATATGGTAGAAATGTTACACAACCTCGTTTACCTAAATATGAATATATTCATACTTATTTTAACAGTTTTACAGAAAATTCACTGTTACCTACAAAATCTTTTAGAAGCGAATTCGTCTGACAACTGTTCAAGGTCAGGGCACATTTGTACACTTACTAAAGATTTTCATATACTACATAGCTAATTGTACAGCATTCATAGTCTGCTTTACATACAATAAATTTCACTACAGTTGGGGCTCGCTCGACCAAGAAAATACGATCGGAACACAGCGAGAAGGCATTGGCTACCATTGCGCTTTTTATAATGGAAAGAACCTAAATAGATTGACAACAATTGAAACCAAGTGATCATTAAAACTATGTAAAACTTATAATACAGCTAAATAAAATATTACCGGTCTTGAAAAAATATTAATGGAGTTAAGCTGATGAGCGGTGAATCACAGACCTAGTTAAATATAGTGACGGTTGCCAGTCAGTGACTGTGGGAACTAATGCCACGTTTAGGCTTGATCACATAGATTTTCCCCAACCTACATCTACATTATTAAACGTTATGTGCCGACACAGGCACGTGATACTGATTAATTATGAGTGTACAAATCGAGGTGATATCAATCGTCCAGTTTAGTGCCATTGATGATATTAAATTCATGTTATTTGTTCAAGTCTGTTAGATTTTCAACCGTGTAGTTTAAAGACTGAAAAGTGAATTAATCCGGAAAGAGTTTACAAGTCTAGTAAACACGGTGGACACCTGAGAGAAGACCAGACAATCATGTCAGATCGTTCTAGAAATGATAACACATCCTACGAATAACCGTGCCTCCAGACTACACTTAATCACTTACGCTTGTTACTCCTGACGGAGTATAGGCTGCCCTTTAGTATTCTCCATCCAACCCTGATATGAGCAATCCTTTCCAGTTGCTATTCATCCTTTTCATATCCGCTTCCAATTCTCGACTGTGTATCCTTTAACCTTCCTCTCCAGAATTCCAAGTTGGTGCTTGCTTCGTGATGCAGTGTATTAGTTGACATTTTACACGAAGGTATGTCCTGTGTTGAACGACGCTAAAACGCATTGGAACTAATTAGCTTTAGTGTTTAACTGTCAAATATTAATGTCTTACACCACTATATAACGACGATTTTCAGAAATACAAATCCTCTCATATTCATCTACCACCTCCAAACTGACGATTATAGGATCCTTTAAGTATATTTCAGCATTCAAGCACTAAGAAATCAATGTAAATAAAAATATATTTGCCAGTTCGTAGATGAAAATAAAAACTAATCGACTGTGAAATGTAACCATTGGTTCATTTTGTAAAGTTTAACACTTCCATAACTTATTAATACTCATGATGTCGACAATGAGTTTGTAGGTTATAAAAGTATATTATTAACTGATGAACATGTAGAGATTATTTATCCCAACTGAAATTACTGTGATAATCAATCGAAAATCCCACCGTAACACTTGCATCACTGACTTACTAATCCTGATGATCATTCGAACTAAACAAACATCTACGTGTATCCTCATCTCGAAATCAACAAATATGACAAATGACAGCTTTCTAAACGTTTTATTAGCTACATTCACTGTATTGGTGTCTGTAAATGATTACAAATAAACATCGGCTTGTATTCCAGTCAATCGAATTTCTATACAACACTATCATCCAATGTACACTGGTAATGAATAGATCTCGCTTTTGTAATGATTTAGTCACAACTACAGAAATGATATCAGATCGAAAGACAGATATAACAACTTATTTACACCTCAACATAGACCAAGCGAAATCACGTCATTTAAAGTAGTGGCTAGACTAACCTGATAGATAGAACTCGACGGGCGTTAAAAAACTGTACAAACATGGCACTGTGATTAGATAGTTGCAGATATTTCAGTCCTACAGGTCATTCATCACCCGATTAACACGAAGGTAACATTTGGAACTGTGAACGTGAGGCTGGTCCGCATATTATGTAAGTATGAGTATGTCACGATTACAGGTACGCCTTGATGATAAGTGCCCAGTAACACAAAACCTACATCTTTGGTTTCTTGCCGATTACCTAAAACTACCTAACATTATATCAAAACCCATACTATATGACTGAACTAGTACCAAATGTAAATGCAACATCTACCCAATTTATTTAACAGTGACAAATTGACTAAGAATAGTAATTCTAGGCTTCACTATTACACAAATGCATATCTCAAATTTCAATTCTGACTAAAACAGTGATAATAACAAAAGTGGTCACAACTAAAAAAAAGTCGGAGGAAACGTCAAATAACAATGTTCTTTTTTTCAAAAAAGAACTGTGTTTTATAACTGTTTTCGTCAAAACGAAACAGAATGCAAACTAACGTAAAAACAAATAACAGATTTATCAGACAGTAATGGATAGATAGTGTATCAGGTAAGCAAACAGATTATTGAGAAGTGTTTACAAAGAAAATTATTTGCATAAAAAGTTTTCACATAAATTAATTGCGTTTGTATATATAGACAGATGGTGTAAAAAGAGTGGACATAAGGAAATGACCTATCACAAAATAGATCTGTGTAGTTGGTTTATTCGGAAAGTATAAAAATATTTATAATATAAAGAACTGACAATGAAAAAATAAAACACTATCAAGTAAAGCATTGATTGTTCAATGAAGATTGTGAATTACACAACAATAGACTGTTTACAGTTGAAAACAATAAATCGATGCTGACATAATAAACCAAAGTACTATTACTATTACTAATAACAGTGAAGGCAAGTAAAATTGGTAAATGTGCACATTTAGGACAAATTAAGGTATACGATATAAGTAAGAAGTAAAATGAACTGTCTCCTCTTTATAAAAAAACTCACTGAGTAATTTTAAGGCAACACAAACAATAATACAGCAGGTACTGAAGATATAAGAAAAAAGAACGCCGCCATCACTCTAGAAAACAAGTGGTTATGGTTGTCTCTGTGTGTACGTTTTAGATCTGACATTACAACAGTTGTATTGGGCTTAATTGATAATTGACTTTAAACAACAACTTAGAGAGATAAACGAAAGCAATTCATTAGAGTGTAGAGGAGAAAAATCTAACAGATACAGACAGTAACAAGAAATTGTGTATAAAACACCAACAGGTACGAAAAAGGCAATCTGGACAAATAAAATATAATTACTAAAAATAGTAATAAAACGACATGAAAACTCGCTAAAAACGAATAATACAGTAAGAATAAAAATGATCTCAAAATAAATGAATAACAGTGTCTATTTTTGTAACTTCTCAAAGGAAAAACAAAATAGGTAACAGTAATAACCTACTTGTGGTCAAGTGGTATATAGTAGGAAGAAAAAACATAGGAAAGTACGGTTACGTTAAATTATAGAGAAACAAGTGAGTTGTTTGATTGTTCATTTTTATGAAGTTTTTTGGTTAGTTCATGTTAGTTGAAGAGAAACCTAAATTGTCATTTCTTCTTGGAAAAGTAAACAATCAAACAATGATAGCAAATATATATCTACACAGAATCGGGCATCATTTTTTGCTGCTATCTGTTTCACTCCTCTCCCCCGGTGGTTCTGCTTGGACTCTTTTCAAAGAAAAGTAACTCAACAGGTAACTAAACAAGTATTATCATTAACAACGTGTAGACTTCTCCTTCGAGTGTATAGTAGTAGGCACATTGTGTTAATAAAGCAATAATTGCATGAATGTGCATCAAATTAACAAAAAGGTAAAGTGAAAACCAAGAAGTATATAATGATAATAATAAAAAGGAAGAATAAAGGCGAAAGAAAGTTTTGTGGCTCATAAAACGCACAAGAAAATTACTACTTTTTACGTACAGGTGGTTGGTTTATGAACGAATGAGAATATATATGGTCATGTGTGTGGAATAAAAAGAACGCGTCAAGTAAGTGAAATATACACCATAGATATCGTTGAACTTGTACATAATACAACAATGAAATTATGTAGCTAGTTCTTGATTGTGATTAACAAGACGTTGTTGAATGTTTGATGGAGGTGGTCGAGGTTCCGGACCGTAATATCGTTCAACAATATAATATCGTATTTCGACCTTAGGAATAATGAAATCAAAGAAAAGCATGTGAAAACACAAATGAGAACTTGAAAAACGTTGCGCAACACGAATATAGACTGTAAAAACAAGGCTATTAACGAACAGTAATGAATATATAATAAAGTTTCTGATAAATTAAGTGCTGTTCCATTGATAACGTTGTTTATAGTGTTTGTAAAGAGTCAGCTGGCAACCATGAAACTAAGTAGGCTGTTATTTCACACAAATGTCATATACTCCCATAGTGTTCATCACCTATTTTGTCTTGGATAAAAATGATCATAGTAATAATACTAAACTCATACAGCAGTTACTTAGGTTTAAGTCACACTTATTGTAAGAACTAATGATACGAATCAGTGGTCCAAACTGAAGTATATGGAGAGGAGTACCGACCTGAAACTCAGTCGCTCTTTAAAAAAAAAACACAAAAATCCTAACTATTGTTTACTACACTTAAAAATAAACAGTTGTGTTTCTGTTGTTAGAAAATAACATCGACTCTTAACAGAAGGGATGGATTTTGGCTAGCAGTAGAATACAGGATGCTCGTTTTGTCCTATATGGGACTTGCCAGATTGAAGTACCATCACAGTCACACTTTGGATTCTACTGTTAACTGCAATCTCTTCTAAAAAAACTTGTAAAAAATAGCTATATCAAAACAATTTGATAAGGATGCATATGTGACAATTAAGACTGATCACAACTTAATTGTAAGCACTTATACAGTAGAACCACTGGGGTTAGCTTCCAACAGTACATTATCCAACTCAAATCAATTCGTGATATAAGGGAACGATTATAGTTAAAAGTGCTTCCTATTAAAACCTGAAAGACCAAAGTTCGACTTTTAGTATCGTTGTGAGTGCGCACTGCTGAGGAATCCCATACCAAGAGAAAACAGTTGCCCAGTATTCCCTGGTCTCGACGTTGCCTAAAACGAGACTAATCTGCGATAAACATAAGCTACAAACTTTTCAAACTGAATACAAAAGTAGTTTTGATACTAGAAATGATAATAAAAACAACGCATATATTATTTAACTAAACATAATAAAGGGCCTAAAAACAAGGACAATATACAATACTTGCTACCATTAATATACTACAATTAGAAAATATAACAGTTGTATACTTTTTGTGTAAGAACCAAACCATATATATTACATACCATATTAAACAAAGAATGCATTAACATGAATGACACTAGGCACTAAAAAGCAGAAGAGATAGAGTGTGAACGATGAAAGCCACTACTAACTAACAACGAAAGTATTCAGAATCCATAAGTACATTCACTGCTCCCCTTACGACTTTACCTACACAACTGAATATATAAGCTACAGAGCAAACATAAAATACTTATATGTATTAATTTTAATACCGAAATAGAACAGATGACTAAGTACAAACAGTTGCTATATATATATATAGGTCACATGTGCACAAACTTGTTCAAGAGTTCAACAAAAACGGGAGAAATAAGTAGGTCAAGCTAAAAATAGCTAAACAGGGAAGAAAAATGATATTGAATACAACAAGTATTACAACAAAAAAAACGAGATTATACCTCTGGATAATTCTCTTTTTCTTCAACTACTGCTGGTTGAAAAGAAGAACGTTTGACTGGATAATCTTTAAAACAATTTGTTGGTGTTCTTGACGTCGACAGTGAGGCAACGGACAATTCGGTGAACTTCCAGTAGTTAGTGGCATTGTATGTTCAGGTGTAGAAAGTGTATGCGAATGACGTTTACGGCCAGTTGTCGTAGTTGATAATAACTTATTTGGGTCACCACTACTGCTACTGTTACTACTACAATTCCATATACGTTCAGGAGCGGTGAATACTAAATGTCCAATATCATTCACATCAACATCGTTCCCATTAATGTTGAACTGACTTAGATTTTGGATGTAATCGTTTGTTGTTGTCGCATCCTCAGATAGATCAATGTCCATTAATGAAGATGAATCAAGATCAGATGATGAATGTGGTTCAGTAGAGACAATAGGATAGTTCCTAAAGTTAGTCTTATTATTATTAGTTTGAGATGTGTTTAATTTATTCTGAATTTGGGGTATGGAACCGTGTACAGCTAGTCAAAGAAAGAAAAAAACAATTATGACAGTTTGCATATAAACACTATATATGTATAAACTATACTATGAAGAGTAAAGTATTTAATTTGACAATGATTAATATCATTAATCAACTGTACTGAGTGTCTTATTATTTAAAGAAATTAATTTTAAAATGCAACGAGGTTAATACTTGTTATTAACCTAGTTGCTAAGTATACACTATTTTGTTTCGGTTCAAACCACACTTTAAGAGTCAGGGCTGTTCAAACCGAAGCAGACAGTGTAGTTTAAACATGTGACGTAATGGCTGAAAGTCGAAAAGACTAACCACTGAGAAACTGCTTTACATAGTATTATATGCAATTCTACTGACATATATCATACCCCGGTTGGTCATATTTTAACAATAATGTTTTTTCACCTTAGATAAGTCAGATCAATATTTTTTGAAAATTGAAAAGTGGGATAAAAAACACCTATTTTGATTAGTTCCCTTTCAAACAAAACAACTATACAGACCTGTAAGACTTTTCTGACCACACAGAATAGCAATAGATTTATTAGCGCTTGTGAAATTTCACTTTTATGCAAAATTCACTTATATGATGACAAAAAACTGATTACGACAACAGAAACAAATATTCTCTTTATAAATGTAGTAGTTAAAACGATTATTTCTTTGATAACACTTGGACATGCATGAATCACTAGTGTTTCTATAGGTTTGGGACGTGATTGACCTCCTATACGACTAAGATATGTACAATTGATTGACCATTGAGTAGTGACCCGGACAGTTCAGTAGTAACGATATATACTGTGAAGTTTGAATCCCACAGAAAGCGTCAGTTCCTTCAAAATTACATCACATTATTAAAATGATAAATTGAAGAAATTATTTTGTAAATCGCTTCTTAGGTAATCAATTCACTTAGGTCTAAGAAGGGAAATACTATACCTAACTTTTTATACAGCACTTGCCATTGTATATTTAATCAACAAACAAAACCCGTAATTAGTTGTTGAGTGGCATAATTCTTACTAAGTTTCACTACACTCATTGGATATATATTTCTTACTATCACCACGATAGCATGATTAACAACACGAAAAGTAGAACCCGTTGTTTGTATTAACTGGTTTAATTAATTTATGATGGATACGGAATTTATTTTGGCCTTGCATAGAAATAACTACAGTAAAAATAATATTTTCAGGTCGTTTAGGTGAAATAGTCAATAATGTTAAATATACAAACTGACTCATGATCTTAACTATTGAAATATACAATTGTTTTAATGTAGTAAAAAACAGACAACAACAATACTAGACAATTGATCAAGACTCATTTGTAAATAATTTCTACGAAGTACTGTTTGAAGTGTAATTTTAAGGTCGCTTATCAATATATTTTTCTAAGAATTCTAGGCAATCTACCAAACTCCAAAGAGAAAAATCGTACATACCGAATAAACAACTATACGAAATATTCATTGCATACAATAGTATGAGATTATGGAATAAGAGAAGGAAAGTATTAATTGCACTGAAACTCACCTCCAGGAGTATTAGGATTTAAGTGCATTAAACCAGTGGATGAGCGTAAGCCGGCTGGGGGACTAAGAAACCAATCAGAACGTTTTTGTAAGCGTTCCAACTGACGTCGTTTAACAGAATTAAAACAAACTGATTGAGAAGATGGTGTTCGATAGGTTGTATTCTAGAGAAATATATAAAGATAGACTATAAGTTTTAAATAAAAGCAAATATAACCATAATGAATTTATTATAAAATATAATTTATTTTAATTGTGATGTTAGTAAAACCATATCAGTTACGGAGAGAAGTATACGGCAGTACCTTCAGCTACAACTACGATACCATGTACAGCAACCCTGCTTTCATCTAGCTCTTAGCTATTCCAAAAGGCGAACCTAGCTAAGAAAATTTGTTGGAAATGTCCAGAGAAGATTCAGATTTACATGTAAGTTAATTCAGTCATATATCAAATTTAGTGCTTACTAAATACAGAGTTTTATCTACTGACTAATTGTCACTGAATACAAAATCAAAGATACGTTTAATACAACAAAAGTACATTGAGAATCAAATAACTAGTTACAACTAACAATACACTCAGTCAGTCAGTACACTGAGAGTTAACGAATATAATTCACTCTGTGACGCAGTTGGCTGAATGAAAAATCACATTTGTATATTGTATTTAGGGATATGTATAGACCTAAACAGTTGTTTATTTGGATTTCAATTTTTTGTTACAGAAGTAGTAATCATGAAAGTTGGATAACACAAGGTTACGATGAGAACTAAGTAAGTGTGAAATACGTTTAATAATTAAAAAATAAATATATAAAAAGAATTGTGAATATACACACACAGTACATGTATATATGCAATCAGATGGAATAGTGATGTTGGTGAGTTGTTACACAGTATACTAGCATTCACCTAAAACAATAAACATTCCACAATTAGCCATACAATTGAATAAGAAAATATTCTAAATGAGTTTATACAATTGGTTCTCCTCCATAAATTTAAACAAAGCAGGAACGATAATATGTGCAATATACGAAGAAATCGTTGTATTTTGCTGCTCTTGTTACATACAAGTTAATATGTCTGATTACCAAGACTATGAACCAAGAACATACATTTCTAACTTAATAAAATTTACAATCAAGCAGATAGTGAGGCGATAAGCAGTCATTTAGGACCATTCACTGAAGACATACTTGTTGGAAAGAACAAAACTATACGACCTGTTATTAACAAGACTACAGTTAAAGAAATCTACATTGATGATACTTTTCTTTTGTGTAATGATATGAACCATACAAATCAAATGCTTGAATCTTTTGGTGAATTTCAATCCAGTATTAAATTCAACAAAACATAAAAGCAACAGCGCGTCCCACTTCACCGATTTAGGTATTTCCAGAAGAAATTATGGGACCTGTCAAATGTTTATGCATCGAAAAGACACCTAGAGTGGACAACACGTTTGTCACTACGAAATTGATTACGCTATACACAACACAATGTCCGATAACAAAAATAGAATTAGATAAATATCCATCACCTGTCACCTCCAACCGCATATATCAATTTACTGTACATTTGAAGGACTGAAGAGTAAGCTTCTACTCGTTTTACCGAATACATTTCAAAATATATACGATGTCGAGGACATAATTGTCTACGTAGTTGAATAGCACGCCACCTGCTAAACACAGGGCACAATAGGGATGCAATAAAGTTAGGTCAAAGTTACTAATAAACAGTCCAATTCCACGTTATCAAAATTTGAAGGAGACAAAGCAATAAGAAGGATTACATATGATCTTAATATTTAGAAAGAATCAGTAGTTAGCCTTCGACTCCCTTGATAACCATTTGACCTCCTGTTTTACTTAACTGTAATCATAATTCAGTAAGTTAAATTCGCATTTCCTTTTTTTTCATCCTAAATTTCCAGAATTTTGCTAATATCTCGCAATTTAGCATTCTAGAACTATTACTGTGAAAAGAAGTCTCCTTTTTAAAACTTTAACTTTCAAAGCACTAAACACAGTTTATTTGTATACCGATTGACAAATAATTTTTCAATATTATGTTAGTAGTTGGAAACTATTAAACATAATAGCTCGGCATGCAGCTGAAGAGAAATCAACGGAATAAATTTGAATTTGTTGTATTCTAAAAATATGTTATCGTTCTTGATTTGTTTAAACTTAGTAAAACACCATTCAATCTCGTTTGAATAAATTGTGTTCGGTATGAATATTGTACCACATGCACACTGGACAATTCAAAATACACTTGAAATTTCACTGCATCAAGTACTTTAAGGAAATTGCATAAGGAATGAGTATAACTTTAATTAAATACAGATCTATGTACTTGGAGTTTGTCTTACATTAATCGTATATGTTGGTATCCAACATAATATCTCAATGTTTAAATTTCAGACAAAACCATTACCTGATACACAAAGGGAAAATGTGTGTTTAAAACACTGGAAACAAATCCAAAAATTCTGTACAGTGTAATAATTTTACCAAACAGATAACAAGAAATTTAGCAGTGAAGAATACAGAGGAACAAATGTTATATGCCAAGAAACATTTAAAATCCCATAAAGAATTTTCTGTTGTGTAAAACAGTTAAAATTATTTATACTTAGTCATTTTATATATTAATAACAAGACTGTAAATCTATGCTCATAATATTAGAAACCAAACAACAAACCAAGTGTTGAAAAATCAAGTTTTGACTAACAGAATTTGACTTGATAAAGGACAGTAACAAAATGTATTCAGAGTTATTACAATTCATTAAGATTAACTTTTAACATATACCCTTATTGACAATTAGTATTTTCACTAGAAACATTTTCGGTATTTATCACATGGGACTAACGAGCACGTTTGAACTATACTTCCGTCTTCATCATTACAGATGTTTTTTACTAGAAACGTAACGGTGTCAATAAGTTGCTAGCAGTAGTCCGAAAATATACTACAAAATAACTAAAATTCAAGCAGCTTATTCAAAAGGGGAGGTAGACTTGTAGACATTTACGCCAAAATTGGCTGACCATAATATGACCTGAATATATGCTTGAAACGCCGATTCGAAGTATAACATGAAAAAATATTTATCGCACGTGCTTGGTTGAGTTTGTTCAGTTGTGAAGATTTACATGTTTTCCGATGAGCACCAAGATTAAAACACCTGCTTACAAGCTCTTACTTTTACTGAAATACGTTAAGATATCAAGTAGCGCTCCATAAGACATTATGTACACGTGACAGTATGAGAGTATTTTAAGAAGTAAAGCGAAATTCATTCATCCCAGGTTATATTGGGGTAACTAGGAGGTTTAATCAGAAAAAATGAATTCTTCCAATTAATGATAACAACAGTTCCTTGTTTGAGATTGGTGATAAACATATTCACGTTATCAAAAAATATTAGTAATAAATTAATTTTAATAACTATTTGATAGTACTAAGAATCCCATATCAATATCTCTAATATTTACTGGTAAAATAGATGGGTGGTTACAGAAGAGTGCAGTAACTTGGCAAACACTTCACGTTTCAACAGGACCAATAATAACCGGACAACTAATTCAATTAGTAGGAAGGAACAATAGGTAGATACTCAGTAAGAATGTCTAAAAAATACTAACTGACCTACCTTTAATTTAGCATTATATTCTCTATTCTCAACTGATGAAATGGATGGGACAACAGAGGGAAATTTGTTCTTAGATGAATTATCCGGATTTACAACTGTTGTTATAGGATTTAAAAACTCATGTGCGTTTAATGAATCTAAGTTGACTACTGGAGTGGTATGATGAGATGTTTTTCCAATAGGTGTTGTAGTAACACATGTACGTTTTTCCGATGTTTGCTGAATAGGAGCATTTAGTATGTCAAATCCCCCAGTATCTATATGAAAATAATTTTTAAATGAGTAATATAGGTAAGTCATAATTGTGATGAAATGAAGGTATTCACAGTTACGAACCAAACAGCTCAATGATAACATCTCAGACTACGAACGCGAATGACCTAAGTTCGAGTCCACCAAACATTAGTTAGTCCTCTCAAGTTTGCAGATACCACTTGCTAATGAGTGGCCAACGAACACGGAACCTATGTCCAGGGGTTTCTAGTAGACTACTAAATACCCAATCACTTAACATTCTAATTCGATATATTTAATTAAATTTAACAGTATCCTAATCATGTGGAAAATCACAAGTTGAATAAACAAATACTACTTTTTGTTGTTTACATTCTGTGATACATGAATTCCCAGACATATAGTATGTGAGGGAAAAAAGTAGTTTAAACAATTATCGATTAAACTTTATTTACGAAAGTCGGTTCTATTGTTTTCACTGCGTAATATAAATTTCTAGATGCAAAAAATGATAACTAATTTAAGAGAAGCAGTGATCTAATATTTTCGAGGCATTAATGATCACAGGTCGGAAGCTGACATAGCAACCAAACGAAATAGCTGAAAATCACATTTTTATAAAAATGCAAGAATAATTTCATTTGTTAATCAGTCCTGGTAAGCAAACCAACCAGTATAGAGTAGAGTAGTGTGGTGATATAAGTTAAAAGACAATGAGAGCGGTGCTGTAGTGATAAATAGACTGCTCAGATAACAAAACTTATCGCAGAGATGTGAAACTATACACAGTAGACAACAGAAATTAACACACTAACTAGAGAATTTCTGTACAAGTCAACAGTTGTTAAAAAATGTAGTCATCCACTAAGTAAAACCTAAACAGCTTCACTAATAAAATATAGAGATGGCGAATCGACCAGCAAGATAACGAATTTCAGTTGGTTGAGACGTGTATTATATATGGCTAAGGATAGCGTACCTTGATGATTGTTTGATGGCGTAGGAGTAGGTTAGACGAAAGTCAGAAGTGACCAAAACAGGATGTGATATCAGTCCGTCGACTTATTGGCTGCTGAACAAAGTTATTTCGGTACGCGTAGACTACCTGGTTGGGATCAGCATAATTATCATGACCGACGACTGTAGACGCTGAGTGGCATGGCTCAAAATTAATCACAATGACGCAAATGCGTGTACATTTTGTTTTTGCTTATATTTCGAGTTCCGGAATAACTACGAACCTCTTAATCTGGGGATTTATTTCTTTAGAACCATATTATCTGTCTAATCTTCTTACTACTATTTCTAATTCTACCTCCTTACTATTTATTTCGGTAATTTTATCTAGGTACTGATATAGTGACAACTTAAAACCGATGGAAATAAGTCCCAGGTTCTATGCCGCTTATAATTAAATGATTCACCATTAAATGTCCCAAAGTCTTGAATGGAATAAATTATTTGAGAATTCGAACAATTTTAAGGAAACAATTTTGATCATGAAAAATTGAGAATGAGTAAAAAAAAATACCACTTGGTACGTAGTGCAATAAAGGAGAAATGTTATTGTTTGAATTTTCTTTGATTTGTGATCAAAACACATGTCTGCACAATACTTGAGGAAGATAGTCATCATACCTATTTCAAAGGGTCGATTTTCCCGTCTTAGAAGAGTAGGTGTTACCGTAGAGCTTGCCTCTGTATATAAAATAGTCCCATCTCCAGATATGTAACTCTCACTCTGTGTGGAACTGATATTCTGCATATACGAAACATTTGATGGGATATTTCCAACGAGCAAATTATCATCTGGACGAGAAGTGACCTGATTAGATCCTGAGTTCACTGTATTGTTTGGAGTGGATATGTTATTACAAGCTGATCTTTCAAAAACCTCCCTGGATACGGCTAAAAATAATACAAAACAAATTCAAGTGTTATATGATTCGGAGGAATTAACTAGAAAACCTTGATATGATTCATCGCAAGTTAGTGACTGAAAAGTAGTTGTACATCAGAATTTGAGTAATTCATAAAGGGAATACAAACTGTTTGCAAAAGTCCCAACCGTAGCGGGTATCTTGATGTGACAGTCGGTATTGTCTATCATGATGACTCAACACAGCTATATTGGATGTAACAAATGTTCCTTTAGGCCCTACCAATTTGGCTGGAAAACGATAAGATTAAAGGCAACAAACTTAAGGTCCGAGGGCAACGTAGTGCTCTTGACTGTGCTGGGGTATGACGACATTAAGGTGTTTCTCCCAGATAACTGACATCTGCAGCAACACTGCCTTCCCACAACAGAAGGAAGGGTCGACCCTAAAACATCACACTTCACCTTACCCTGCGGAGTTCCCGTCTTCGGCGGTAAAGCCTTTTGAAGTGAGAAGTTGATATATCAAGAACTTCCCATAAAATGGCTGTGCGTGAGCGGTCCCAAACAGTTATCCCCTGGACTCCACATTCACGCTCTCAGATCGCTAAAACCACCACTAACCTCACTTTTAGGCCTCTCAAAAATAAATATCCATCCACAGTGTGAGGAGCCAGGAAGTGACAACGGCCCTCATACCTTTAACAGCACTCGAAGTCATCTTGTTTACGATAAAAACCCTCCTTCATATCTTATAAAAGTCCAAAATGTGTGGAGATTCGGTACCTTAATAATTGCTGGGAATGACGAATAATTTTAGTTATTACAACAGTAAGATGACGAAGTTTTCCAACAAATTTTCATGGGGCACTTTCTTCAGAATGATTACAAACATATAGAAATAACGAAAAATAAGAGAAAAAGTGAAAATAAACACGCTATGTATACTAGAAAAACTACTAGAAGAAAAGGAATAAAGAAGTAAATAATTGTGGTAGGAAAGCAAAGTACACATATGAAAATAAAGAACAAAATGTATGGGTTATTATGGTATTGAAGAAAATGAAGAGTGAGCGGACACAGAGATGCTTTCGATTTTGAATTATCCTACTTAAAATAGCTCCACTTATTGCGGTTATCCTATGAAATACCATGAAGTCACTGCATTTCTATATAACTTGAATTCATATAGTGAGGACTTATGGAATAACAACAAGTTCAAATTCTTCTTACCAACACTTGAATTAGATAGGACATCGTATAGCTCAAAATCAGTTGCAATTTCTCAGATAAATTAATTTTTCACTGTCTATAAAACTGTCAACTTGTACTCCATTACAGCCTTTTCTTATGTTGTGAACTAAATTTACATTGTATAGATTTCTAATATCATTGGCAATTTCACTTTCCTCACTTCAGTTCTAATTTTGTCAACTTTTCAACTACGCCTGTGTGAAAATTGTACCGCGCCACATTAAAACCAAATTATATGTTGTTCATAACTAATCAATAGTGGCAACAATAAAATTTTAGTATAGCAAGAATATTTAAATGGTTTGGGAGCATGTTGCTCTGGTTCATTGTCATCCTAAAATTCGAGCAAACCAGTTAAACTGCCACGATCTTTACATCACCCATTACACCATATTTTTTCTTCCTTTAGACTTTGAGCTTCAATATTCCTTCATATATATCTTTCCGTTCATCTTTTCGAACTATATTCACAATGTTTAATCATTCTTACTATGATTGATATTACACTACTTTAATCGATTTTGCCATTCTCTTTGTTATTTCTATTTTGTCGTACTAATGTAGTGAGGCAACTTTGGTCGACATACATCTGCTCCAAGTTTTATGCTATGTCTGTCAGTGTTTTTACTATGCGAAAGCTTTTATCTTTACTAACACCCTATCGGTATTGCCCCCTTTAGACTTTCTTTAGAATATTCGCTTAATTACAACAGAAAAAGACCTAAACTCATCAAAAAAAATCCACGAATTATTGAAAACGAAAACCTCAACAAGGAATAAAGTAGGATTTTTAGAAATTTAAACAAACCAAACAATAAAGTAGACAGCATAGTTTTATTCAGCGATGACTCCTAGAGGCCATAGCAATTAAGATAAGACCTGATTTTTATTTCTAACTATTTTTTGCCTTAGTAACGAAAAAGGAGCATTCGAATGAATTTTTCTTTCTCCTTCGAACTAGGATGACAATTGAATGAACTCAAAACTTTTCATGGTCATAATAAGGTTTAGAAAAATTGTCTTCACTAATATTCCAGAACATATATATATATATATATATATATATATATATATATATATATAATTATGCTTTACAGACTATTTACTATAAAATAGATGATGTGGCTAGTAAAAGAATCGAAGGTGTACGTTTAGTATTACTTGCGACCTGTCAGCTAGATGAACCTGCACTTCAAAGTTGCTGTTCACTCTGAGATTCAAATCCGGTAACTTTCATGTCAAACATACAACGCGTTATTCACTTAGTTATTGAGTCCAAATGGGCAGCTGATTAGTCTCAAATAGGACATAACACCCACCCAGAGTTTTACTGTTAGCCGCATTCCATGCACTCTGCGAACATAATAGATGTAGTGAATATATAGAGGCAATCGGCACAGGATGAATATATAACAACTAATACTGATCAAAATCCAGTCAAATTGCCAACTGTTACAAACTGAAATAAGATTTAATATTAGTTACTTGATGGATGATTAAATATGAAATTATTTCAAGTATATTACTGTTTATTCAAACCACATTAACAGTGAACTTATCAACCTGTATGTATGTAGAAGTCAACGGAATAAAACTGAATTTATCGTTGACTCTACGACCTATGTTACTTTTGCTTTGTTGTGAAATATGTGAGGGAAACTCATCAGAGGTATTTTTCCAAAAGTTGAACACGTACCATCTTTAATCAGGTGAAATCCATGTTTTCTACCTTCTTCTAATAGCATTCGAACGAAAAGACGAACAGATTTTTCTCCTGTAAAATTAAAACAACGGTGTAGCCAAGTTACTGAAGGTAAGAAAGATGAGCAAGAAAACAAAATTTGATTTTATATAGAAACTAAGGATTTAATTAGTAGGATAGTTAGCAAAACATAACGACAACACTGTCATGCTCACCTAAAAACGCAGGTATGCAATAAACAACAGTAAAAGATGTATAAGTATAACTGTTGTAAACTTTCGATCACCAAGTTCATCCGAAAATATGTTAATAACATTTGATAGGTGATTTCAAAACTGAAAGTGTTCACAAGTTACTATACATTAAAAAGTGGTGAATATGGGGCTTTCAGTGACAAAGTAATCCATACAGTTAATACTGCATTTCGAATTGATTTCAACCATTGCTTTGATATTAGTGAGGATGAGCTTTTGTACATCAGTTACCTTGGATGAAACTAGGACGAGTTACAGCTTTAATTACTTCTCAATTATGGGTTACTATCAAGTGAAGTAGGATAGTTGTTTCAAATCTTTACTTACATATGTACAGATTAGGCTATTGATGAATAAATAAATAATGTACTCATCACGATAAGATCCTATGTTTAAAGATGAACAACACATCACTATTATTACTTTTCGTGAAAATTAGACAAACAGTAATTACTGTAGACGTTTTACAATTTTTTTATCATAGCTATTAAGATAGGAAACTGAATTGTTTTTGGACTTCAGTAGAGCTTCTAGTTGAACCAAATGGTCATATATAAGTATGGATAACTATTCGAAAATAAATGATATATATGAATACAACCCTGTCATAAATTAGATTTAAAACTCCATGGAACAGGACAAATTTATTTTCTAATCGATGTTTCGGTTGAAGTTATTCAAGTGTTATGATACGACAGAAACTCGGTAGGGGAAGTTTCAGCAAACCTAGATTCAGACATTTTAAATCCTGATAAAAAGATAAAAACCTACATTTACGTAATAAATCGAAAAACCAGTAACAGTAAATGCCCTGGTACGGCCGAGGGTGAGAGAATTAGCTCTCTCTCATTCGAAATGCTCTCACATAGCCACGCATATAGAGCCACTGCCAGGGAAGTCCTACTCACTGCCTTCTCATGACGAGGGTGTTGTTTACGAGATTGAGAAGACGAAAGGCGAATGTCCGGCGGTTCATCCGGGTCAGTGAACACGAAGGGTCCACCTAGGGGAGTTAGAAAACCCTGATTACAAACCAATGGTGCATATGGGCTCCAGGAACCTGGGGGAACAAATGACGTATGCACCTATTGTTGGTCACCGGCTATCATGGGACTGCATCTCTTGACGTTGCTCCATTGCTTTGTGGATCAGACCTTTAGGTCGAAGGCTCCGGGTGTGGCCCACTAAGAAACCCACCTGCTTCAGTCTGTGCACCCGGGTAGTATTATGGCCCACACGCAAATCAAGTGGCTTGTATGGTGTATATGTATTCAGTGTCCTTTTATACTAATATTTGGGTTCAAATAAATAAGACAATCTTTCAAAAGCTAATGCAAATGGACCTACTTGGCACGTCTTTAGGAAATCGAAACTCGTACTTGAACTTCTCCACTCTCGAAATGCTAGTTTTCGTTTCTAATGTGAAGTATTCGATAAGCTCACGACTGAAGAGATCAGCAGAGGCAAAGCCAGTTATGAGATATTCCATAACTTTTGATGCTCGTTCAACCTAAAATAAGACAAAACTTAGTTTTCAAAGAATTTTGATCACTAATGTGGAGAAATTTTAAACATAATCATACTCTTCAGGTATATATATGTCTTATTTTTAATGTAAATAATCTATTAGGACAAAAGTATGACAAATCCTATTTCCTGAAATAGGATTATATATGGAATTAAGACAGACACTAGCTGCATACAGAAAAAAAACTAGTTAAGTATATGCAAGACCTAATCTGTGTTACTATACGAAAAGTGGATAAAATATATTAGGTATAAAAAAACATTTTTTGGGGGTTAACAACACAACAGATGAATTCATTAGTGTCAGATACCTTTGCGATAATCATTCACAGAACTATACTGTACTATTAGATTGTATGAGTAATTAAAGAATAAGTCCATTGTGCAAGAACATTGGGGAGCTACTCATCAAAATATGTTCACAAATAAATAAATTTTTTGAAGAAAACCAAACATGTGGTTCGACGAGATAGGTGAAAGAGTATAAGCCTCATATCACACAAAAAAGAATCCAGAACTTTCACATACTTCCCCACCCCTACGGCGATTGACAGAACCATCCTTCCAAGAGATAAAGCAGTAGTTCTGAAATGGAGTTTCTTAATAAATCTTCAGTTAACAGATATCCTATTGTTATCATCAACGACACAATACAAAACAGTTTTTCTCTAGTGTCATCAACCACTTATTAGTGTATTTAAGATAAAAAAGAATTCACTCCCGGCAAATTTTGCTAAGACTGACCCAAACCTAGTACAAAAACGTTATTCCACCAAATCACACAATACCAGACGTGAATACCATGATATAAGAGAATATCTGAGCACTCAATCCAAGCTAATAGCAGAAATGAGTGAACTGGAGCTAAACCATGTATACAAATGGTGTTTCCTGAAAATAACTGTTCAACCCAAAAATGAAATCATGATTAGTTAAGAGCCATAAGACAAGTATCTCTCACTTTTATTGGGGTAGTCGTGCAGCTGGGGAAAACAGACCCGGCGACAGATTTAGCAACAGCTTCCACAGACATAGCATTAACTTCAGTATGATAGATCATTCGAAACCAGATGCCGAATAGTAGAGCAAGTAACTGCTGAACAGGCTTTGGTTGGGAAACAATCACACTAAAAATGTGGGGATGGTAATCAGAACACACGTTTTAAGAAGAATTCAGGACATTAATTCGTCGAAATATTCATAATATAAAATATGAAGTTTTTGTGTTATCATTAAAATAGCATAGATGTAATATTTAGCCTTGACTCAGAAAATAATCTGATGAGTGATTCACGACGTCAATGGTCTATCTTGATTTACGTCACTGCCGTATTGGTATGAAGTTTACCATATTGCCCAGACTGCTACATATTTATATTAAGTTATGAGATCGAAAATGGACGAGTATCAACATGTTAGAACTAAACATTTTAGAAGCTAAAGCACGCAGTCACCAGGAAACTTACTATAGCTCAATCATCGTAAAAAGAAAACGAATTCTTAAATTCTTACAAGGACATTAATTTTTATACAACAGGAAATAATTATATTTGAAAAAATCTGTAACTGCACGCACTTCTGTTTCTGTTACCTTAAAAGTTAGTGAACTGCATAGAAGAGCAGAAGTGTGATTGGGATTTTCGACATACTGAGATTACTGACTTTAACAGCGCTGTATGAAGCACTCACCTTTGGTTAAATAACAAGTACGTATATATATATACCTGGTAATACCTATTGTACATGCACGTGCGAAACCAGAATCTTCGAGTTTCTTCGTATGGACGCTATTGGTAAGTAACTGACTCCATATTGTGGCAACAATATCAACGGCTCTGTTCGTAGGCTCGATAGCTAGAATTTGTTAATTTGATTCAGTTATAAGGAAGTCGAGCCATGATTTAGAGTGTGAGATAACAGCAAATACAAAGCGTATAGTAAACATTAGTAAAAAATGGTAACCACCAATGTAACTAAAGTTTAAAGGTTCAAATAACGTTGAAACTTTAAATGACCATAACACAAAACTGAGTCAGTCAATCGTAAAGATGAAACTCTCAGATCATATACCGGGGTAGTAGAGGTAGTAACGGTATCATCAAACTTGAAGGAACGCTCTGATATCAGGCAGTAGTAAAAACCTAACAAAGCATAATGTAATTTTAACGCTTATATACGGTTATTATTATTACAATGATCAGTATTTAGAGACATCTAGACAACAGAATCGATTCAAAGTGCGCAAGTACAGTAAAATTTAGTCCCATTGCAAATTGTATGAAGCATGAAGACAGAGTGAGATAGATGAGAACTATCATGACTTGATGATTAATAAATATCAGACTGTTAGGCCGTACGCTGCACACTATTTAAAAAACAGGATTGGTATATATGCCTGAAGACTAACGGATGAACAGTAACTACAGCCCGTAGTTTGAATTAACGACTGCTGGCCGAGACTATAATTTATGGACGAAACAACCAGGTATAAGACAACAGGTCCCGGATTTTGGCGCGAAATTCACTCATCCATTTGGCTAAATAGTTTTGACATTATAGCTTATGTCAGTTCGTGATGAGAATCATACTTATTTCTAATCCTTATTCGGTCCTAATTACTAGGTGAACACTCTTAAGGTCACTTTCGCGTCGTTCAAAGGTCATCCATAAGTTATAGTCTCATCGCCTGCTGGAATTATTAGGAAAACTATATTGTTAAGACCCACACTATGACATAAAACACAATGTTTCGTCAAACAGCATGCTTTTAAGAACTATACTAACCAGTGCATTGCTTCGATTCGGGCTTGATCATCTGGAATGTCAAGAGTAGAAAGCAGTTTTTCTTCAGATTCAGGACCCAAAATCCCGCCCTCAATATGTAGCAAATACCGTTTGGCAATATTTGCAAGGGTATAAAAGTTGTAATCTGTCCACCTGATTGGTCTCCCCGCCTCAAGGTCAGAGATAATCTTTTTCATATCTTGTTGGTTTCCAGGTCTTCTGAACAAATCCGTTACGGCTACTCCCTCACGAGCAATGTAGACCAATAAATCCTAAACAGTCAAATCAAAAACAAGGACCTACTCGAATTTGTGACGGGATATTTTGTGACTTAAAGGACTCATTAATCTTTACATTGAATAACACCCTGGTTAACCGACGAGACAAGCCATGTCTGCGACAAACACATTTTCGGATATTTTCGAATAGTGGCATGAGTATCATAAACTTTCGAACATTATTTGGAGCAAAAAATGAAAGAAAACACAATGGATGAACTGTAGCGATTCACGTCTAGCCAGAAGTTATTTTGTGTACTAGGGAGGCATATAATGTCAGTGTAGAGGGCTGCAAAACAAAAAAGATAGTAAATCGACAACCAAAAAAGACCAAACAATCCTTATATATTTTCCAAGGGTACCAACCTATAACAATCATAAATAACATAAGCTTCAGATTAAGACTATCTTGCGATCAGTACTAGAAAACAAGGGCCCAACCTGCTACAGAACTTACAGACGTATCCAGCGCCATATCAGGAGTAGGGGAATTTTCATATGTTCAATATTCACTACAATATACGAAGTGCAAATTTTAAAGTTTCAAAGACGGAATACTCAAAATCTCTCATAATTACTCTTGCACAGTGTCTAGATTTTGTGCTATTTCCCCGTTCGCATCGACAGGACATTCAAAAATCACCATTTCCTAAAATGTGTACCAAAAATTGTTAAAAAAGTTGAAAAATTTATGGAATCACTTACTACTAAGCTAAACAATCATCCTATCACTTTGAAATAACCCGCGAAAGGAGATCTGGGTTTTATGAGAACCTAACGTATATATTAAAGTGGTGTTTTGATAAATTTGATAAACACTATTGAATGCCATATTTCCCCTTTGATGTAATACAGTATACGTAATCACATTTTTATGGCATAATTTTATTGACTTTAAGTTTTGAACAAATGTTATAATATCGATGTGAACACTGGCCCTCCTAATGCAGCTTCTACATAGTTTGACAATCTTATGAATAAATCGAAATTTATGTCTCACAACGACATGCAATTGAGTAAAAAAATGTCAGTGTGGTGACAAAAGCCTTTTGTAAGCGCTCCTGTAGACAATACGATTGTATACAATAGTGAGCGTGCCATTTATAAGTTGTCGACCTCAGGAGCAAAGATGTGCCGAGCTTTTTTCTGACCATATATGGTAATGACACACCACCAGATATACTCAACAAGGTCCACAAGATAAAAAAAAATGCCAGATTGCTACGAAACTGCCTTTCTTCGTTATTAACCTTAAGAGTCCATGTGAGTATTTTTGTCTCACTCACTTTTAGAGAGATTTGCTCACGCAGACTCGAAATTCGTAGTCTTTGGTGGTTACCGATAACAGTCCATAAATATTTATGCATTGACGTAACAGATAATTTACAACAAAAACCTCACCCTCATGTCTAACATCTGAAAAAGAAACAGTGAAATTCACTGAGGTGCACAAACTTCAACGTATACTTACACTGATGCATCGAGATCATTCCAATTAAAATAAAACACAACTGATAAGTATGTTCCTTGAGAAGAGGCAATCTATTCCACAGAAAATCACGTGCTGCCAACGAAACAACACCATATGACTAAATGAATATTAAGTCGAAGCTGATATAATAGAAAACAATGTGCGAATACAGAATTTATCGATATGAAGGTGCCACGAGTATACAGGGTATTACAACGCCTTGACACGTAACATTTTAATCGAAGAATATCAAGCCAGTTAAATCAGAAGTCAGAAATGAAAGGGCTCAAAGGTGTTCAGTCGGCTTTCGGACAACTGCAACGGAGCCTCTAGAGGAACCGAATAGTCTTAGCCAATCAGAGCATGATGGGGCTTTCTGGAATGTCAACGTGGCGTGTTACTATTGGTCAGTAGCATGACATGTCTTTTAGCGGATTGCCTAAGATATGATATTGATTTAACAAATGTTAACATCTATAAATACCCGTGCTTTCTGTACAAAAATGAAACTTGGAGTAAAGTATTTCCTCGCGTACTTTGCTTCTTCTCTCTTGTGTTCAGGTCGCTGTATAGTTCTAGCTTGGGGGTTACAGAATAGCTTAGGAAACTATTATAGCGTTCAATTCGCAAGACTTATCAGTGTCGACGGGAAAACTATGATGAATATTTCCTTAGAGCAACTAGAAGCCTATATGGTGCGTCAAGAAAAGAGGTCTGAAGAGTCCCAAATCAGAATCATGGAAGCCCTGATGCAGAAACCCTGCTTCTGATGAATTACAAGTATCACATACTGTTTCAGTCATTAACGCCATCCATGAATTTAATTTCGATGGTGTAGTAGGTGTAACTTTTGAGTCTTGGTTTAAGGACTGCAAACTGGATGACGCTTCAAATGTCAGAATACTTCTGAGAAAACTTGGGACTATGGGACATGAACGCTACAGCAACTTCATTCTCCCGAAGAATCCAAGAGACTTTAGTTTTGATGAAACAGTTAAAACCCTGTCTCAAATCTTTGGAGAACAATCATCTCCATTTAATATCCGTTATCAACGCTTAAAGATAACGAACGAACCAGGAGATGACTGGGTAGAACATGCAGGAATTGTGAACCGAGAATGTGAGAGGTTCAAATTGTCTTCAATGTCTGAAGACCAGTTTAAATGCTTGGTATTTATCTGTAGCCTGCGTTCACACGAGGATGCTGACATCCGAACGAGAATCCTAGGCGAACTCCAACATTGCCCCAACGTGACCTTGCAGGAAGTAGCTACCGAATGCCAAAGGTAAGTCAATCTGAAGCATGATACCTCGATGATAGAAAACGGCAACCGGTTCTCTCATGTCAATGCAGTCGAGAAAAAAGTCTCACAAGGTTCCAGCACGCGGAATTATCGTAATGACAGCGATAAACCATCATCTCCATGCTGGGCATGTGGAGGCTGGCACTATAAGTTCTGCCCGTATAAAGAACATTGTCTCAGTAAGTGCCATCGAAAGGGCCATATAGAAACCACCTGCAGAAAAAGAAACCAAAAACGATATTCTGAAAAACCCTACTCCAAAAAATACAGGTCTTGCGCATTAACAAAAAGAATATTGGTATCAAATAATCAAGCACAAAGTTGCCGCCAATGAAAGTACGTAACCTTGGATATTAATAAACACCGTACTCCCCCTCCGCTTGATATAGATTCTGATATTACTCTAATCAGCCCAGAAACTTGGAGGAACCTTGGAAGTCCCACAGTTCTCCCAACAACACAACTGGCATATCCGTTACCCTTACCGGAAGATCTTTTCACTAAGCTGAACGGTGGCAGATATTTTGCGAAATTGGACTTATCAGGCGCGTATTTACAAATCCCGGTATCTGATGAGGGCAAAGATCTCCTGACGATCAACACACACAAAGGTCTGTTTCGGTATAACCGACTACCTTTTGGGGTGAAAACAGCGCCCTCTATTTCCCAGCAAATTATGGATAGCGTGCTACAAGGTATTCTAGGGGCAGAGGCTTATTTAGACGACATCATAATTATGACAGCAGACAACATGGACCTGCAGAAGGAACTGAACCAGGTACTAGGACGATTATGGTTTTCGCCTTCGAGCGGAAAAGTGTGACTTCTATATGCAGCAAGTACGGTATCTTGGGTTCATAATAGATAAAGACGGAAGACGACCAGGTCCAGAGAACATTGAAGCTGTGAGAAAGATGCCTAGACCCAGGGACATTACTACCCTGCGATCGTTCTTGGGATTGGTCAGCCATTATGGTACCTTCCTTCCCGATCTCCATTGTCTACGTGCTCCAATAAACCACCCATTACAAAAGAATACAAGATGGAATTGGTCTGCCGACTGTCAAGCAGCTTTCGAGAAAATCAAGCAACTCCCAACTTCCAATCTCTTATTGACATATTATGATCCTTCGCTACCGATAGTCGTTGCTTCAGATGCTTCTAACTATGGTATGGGCGCAGTCATCTCTCACATTTTTCCTGATGGGTCTAAAAAAGCTATCGCACACGCTGCCAGATCTTTGACAACGACCGAAAGGAACTACAGTCAAATTGAGAAAGAAGCCCTATCATTTGTCTTTGCAGTGAAAAAGTTCCATAAGATGATATATGGTCGACATTTTACCCTAATAACAGACCAGAAGCCATTACTTGCAGTTTTTGGGTCAAAGAAAGGTATTCCTGTTCATAAAGCTAACCGGCTCCAACGATGGGCAACCACACTTCTGGGTTACGACTTCAAGATCAAGTATCAGTCTACTACCGCGTTCGGACAAGCTGACGCATTGTCAAGATTAATAGGCTCCCAGTCGGTAACCCCAGAGGGGACTCTTGTAGCAAATAAACAAGCTGAGAAAGAAGTTCATCGCGTATTGGATGATGCAATCGATGGACTCCCAGTGACCTTTGAAACTGTCAAGAAGATCACTGAAAGTGATGAGACATTGAGCACAGTTCAATGCTAACTCTCAACCAAATGGCCAAACAATCGCCTTGACGGAGAACTTTTGCAATATTTTCGCCGACGGAACTCACTACTGGTTGTCGACTCGTGTGTTATATTCGGTGATCGGATTGCTATCCCGGAGTTATTACTTCACAAGGTTCCCAAGCAGTTTGACAGTCATCATCCTGGAATCAATAAAATGAAATCGTTGGCTCGTAGTTATGCTTATTGGCTGTCAATGGGCAAAGATATCGAGAATAAATGCCTTAACTGTTCATCATGCATTCAAGCCGCTAAAAGTCCT